TTTAGAGATTTGATATTAATTCTAAATTTGATCATTTTATTAGATGATATAAGCCTTTTTTTATTCTTTTATTTAAATATATAATATTTTTTTAGTAAATGACTTTTTGACAATATGACTCTAAATATGATCATATTATTTATTTTTATAATATATAATATGATCTCAAACTAAATAATGATGTATTTTGGTATAAAATTGAATAAACTGAAAATCAATATATAAACTAAATCAAACTTAAGTAAATATGGATTTAGAATAGTAGTTATATTTCAATAACCGAAATACCGAAACCCTTAATCTAGATTGAACACCTTTAATCCAGATGAAACCGAACTTTTATTTCATTTTCCAAAACATAATGAAAATAATAACTTCATTCCGCACAAAGTGCGGATCTTATCCTTGTATAAGATATTTCATAACGCAGAAAAGGTCCTAAAATAAATCCCCGAGTAATCATCGGATAATCTCCAAATAATTGATTCGACACTACATTAACCCAACCGCTCCTAGCGCAATACTGAACAAGGCAATTAACAAGAATATTTTTGAAAGAAGAGAATAATCATCAATCTAGTCATAAATATTGAAGTTTGTGTCTTGTATTATTTAGATTCATCATAGATTATCGGTTTGGTTTTATTACTTTTTCTTCCAGTGCAAGTATTGGAAGATTAGCAACATTGACAGTATTGTAAATAACAAGACGACAGAGGAAAGCTGCAAATCTATAAATTTACATGTGGATTAAGAAAATATTTAGGACTATAAATTTTAAATAAAACATCATTAATTACTGAACTAACTGTAATTCAACCAGAAAAAAATACAGATTAAAATCAATAATTTTCTTACATTGAGATTTTGAAAGTCATATAATTTGAAAAAAACTCTCCATCTATTGAAAACAGAGTATAACACAAAATCTATTAATAATGTGATCTTAAATTGTGTAGATAAAACTTCAAGGTAGTATTAAAATAGTTTAATTCGATAAGTAGGGTCATAAATGCAACTTCCAATATGGTTTAATGAATAATACTAGGTGACCCACCCGCACCCTGTGCGGGTATAAAAATATAGTATAATGTTGAGATAGAAGTATCTATTGAGTTCAAATGTGGGACTTAGCGGAACAAGTGAGAGTTTCAATGCTGAGACAAGATTTGCGCAAATCTCTAGGATACAGTAGAGGTGGGCAAATCGTTACATTTTCGGTTTGGTTTGTTTAGTTCGGTTTTAATATTTTTTTTCAACTGAAATAAACCTTATTTAGTCTGGTTCGGTGTGGTTTATGTCCAGTTCAATTTATATTCAGTTCGGTTTGTTTTTGGATCGGTTTAATTAGGCTCTTTGTCGCTTAATTTTTTAAAAGAAAAATTATGTATTAAAATATATACACAAAAAATATGTGAACTAAATTCAATATTAAACTGAAACAAATACTAAAAAAGTCACAAAAGTATATAAGAATAAAACAAATGAAAGTTAACAAAAGTAAAAAAAAAATTAACATCATTAGTATGTTTTTAATAAAAGTTAACTATTAAAAAAACAAATGTAAGTAAGATATACAGGAGACAGTGACATATTAAAAATGTGATAAAAATCTCATAGATATCACAATCCCATAGAAAATGTGATGAAAGTTTAAATATAATTCATAAGTAATATAAAATAAAAAGAACATTTANAAATTAACATCATTAGTATGTTTTTAATAAAAGTTAACTATTAAAAAAACAAATGTAAGTAAGATATACAGGAGACAGTGACATATTAAAAATGTGATAAAAATCTCATAGATATCACAATCCCATAGAAAATGTGATGAAAGTTTAAATATAATTCATAAGTAATATAAAATAAAAAGAACATTTATGAATAAAAAAAATCCCATAGAAACCTGCAAAAAACTGTCAATTTTTTTAGCAATTGTACAATATAAAATAATTTAATAGATTTTTAAATTTATCGAGACGAAAATAATATTGAATTTGCATATTGCTATTGAAACAAACTGAAAAATGGTTTGTAATAAACTACAAACGATCTTTCATCTGTGTTATTTATCTGTTAATATAAAAACAAACAAATGTATATATATAGTAAATCACATTTTTAAGATCCATATTTATATATATATATATATATATAAATTTAATTAAGATAATAGTTTTGAATTTTCTAAATCTCAAATCACCATTATATTTGTGGTTTTCTAAATAGATAATAGTTTTAGGTTTTTCTAACTCAAATCACCATTATCATATAAATTTGTCCAAGGTAATTGATAGCAAAATAAGGTAATCATCATATTTCCGAATTAACTAATTAGGAAATAAAGAACATAAACATTAATGCAATATCAGATGTATATAGTTACTAATAAATGACATCATAAAAGAACAAGAAATTTACTTAATAGACATATATTTTCACAAAAATTTAACTTTTAAATATGTCAATTAAATGTATATTTAAAAAAAATACTTCCTAAAAATATTATTTTGTTTAGAATTATATATAATAAAAATTCAGAATATATCAAATTTAAAGAATAATTATGAATTAATAATCATATTTTATCATTAAGTCTTATGGTTCCTGAAATATTTGTTATAAAAATTCTTGTAAAGACATTTCTTGAGATATATAATGTCTTATGGTTCTTGTAATATTTGTTTTCTTTTAATAAACATGAAGCAATTAAAGAAAGATATTAAAAATTGACTGTCATAAATTTGCAATAATTAACATATCATTTAAGACAAGTAACTGATGGCAAAATAAGGTAATCATCTTATCAACTTGCGCAAGTAATTGATAATAAAATAAGACAAGTTATTAATAAACAAATCAACTAATTAAAAGCTTTTACCAACAAGGTATATCTTTCCTAAAACCATAATATGGTTATAAAATTAAAGAATAATAAATAGTTTTGATTTTGATATATTTTAAATCTATTGAAATATATAATAATTATGTTTTATCACTTATATTTAATATAGAAATTTGTATTTAACCGATTTAATTCTAACATTAGTATTAGAAATATATACAAAAATGTTACACATATCATATTCTAACTCTGAATTATATACATAATTTATATGTGATAAATTGTATAAAGTTATATTATAATTGACATAGAACTATATAGTTTATGATAACATCTAAAAAAAGATGACAAAAAAAAAAGATGACAAAAAATAAATATATAGTTTACATATATGAATTTATAGGATATACATTTTATAATATGATAAATTGTATAAAATCATATTTGAGTACAAAGTTGATAAAATGTATAAAACCATTTAAGACAAGTAACTGATGGCAAAATAAGATAATCATCGTATCAACTTGCGCAAGTAGATAATAAAATAAAGCAAGTTATTAATAAACGAATTAACTAATTTAAAGCCTTTACCAACAAGGTATATCTTTCCTAATACCATAATATGGTTATAAAATTAAAGAATAATAAATAGTTTTGATTTTGATATATTGTAAATCTATAGAAATATATAATAATTATGTTTTATCACTTATATTTATTATAGAAATTTGTATTTAACCGATTTAATTCTAACATTAGTATTAGAAATATATACAAAA